TCCTGTGCTCCCTCGAAGTCCATATTCCTTGTTTGGACTATGGTGCTAAACGAATGTCTCTCAAGACTCAACCTGGACAGAAGGGGCATTCAGGTCCCTTCTCTGATGTGTGGGTTGTGTGCTTTGTTGCCCAAGTCCACAGACCATCTGTGGTTACATTGTCCTTTCTCTTCGAAAGTCTGGTACCATTTCATAGGAGCAGCTGGTCTTAATTGGGTCATGCCAAATTCATTAAAAGATCTATCGCTTTGCTGGAATCTCCAAGGTTTGAAGAAAAAAGGAAGTTTAATTTGGAGAACTATTCTTGCGGCAGTGATGTGGGTAGTTTGGTCTGAAAGGAATAGAAGAATCTTTAGCAACAAAGTTAAGAGCACGGAGGAGATAGTGTAGCAGGCGGTCAGCAAGCTGATTTCTTGGATGTCTGTTACTCCTTATTTTAAAGAGTTAAATGTTCCTGTATTAGTTACGCCTACTTCCATTTGGGATCTGTAACATGTCCTGAAATCTGAGCAGCTACTTGTGGCTTGCTCTTCTGTTGTACTGAGTTCTTTCTGATTCAATAAAGTTATTACTTTACCTTTCAAAAAAAAAAGGATGGAATCTTTATCTCTCAGTGCAAGTATGTGCTAGACTTTCTCACTAAAACAAGCAAAATGGGTACAAGACTAGTGCCTACTCCTATTGATATGAGTCACAAACTTTCTGCCTCTGATGGAAAACTGTTGAAGGATAAGGGAGTGTTTCAAAGGTTACTAGGGAAACCGGTATATCTTACTCCTGGGAAGGGCATTCTTTTTGCTAAACATGGTCATATGAAATTGGAGGCTTATACAGATGCTGACTGGGTAGGCAACACTGATGATAGGAGGTCAACTTCGAGATATTGTAGCATGGTGGCAAGTAATATTGTTTCTTGGAGAAGCAAGAAACAATCTGTTGTTGCTAGATCTTCAGCTGATGGTGGCAAGTAATATTGTTTCTTGGAGAAGCAAGAAACAATCTGTTGTTGCTAGATCTTCAGCTGAGGCTGATTATAGGGCTATGGCTCATGAGGTTTCTGAGTTACTTTGGCTTCAACCCCTAATGGAGGAACTAGGGCGTTGAGTATGATAAGCCATTGATGCTATATTGTGATAATCAGACTACCATCAACATTGCCCACRATCCAGTGCAACATGATAGGACTAAGCATATTGAAATTGGCAGGCGTTTCATCAGAGAAAAAGTGGCTTCTGGAGGAAGTTTGTCTACCATTCATTACATCTGAAGAACAGTTAGCTGACATGCTCACCAAGGAAATCTCCAAGGCCAAGCTACAACATGACACTGGCAAGCTGGGCATGATTGACATCTATGCTCAGCTTGAGGGGGAATGTAGAGAGGATGGGCCAAATGGCCCATAGGCTGTTCTTATTTCTTTATGTTTCTATTCTTTTTGTTAATGGGCCTTTACTAATGGGCCCTTATGTTTCTTGTTTAATTAAGCTAATCACCCAATTAAGGGCCTACTTGTAAATACAGAAAATTTGTAATTATATTTTAATAAAAAGATTAGGGAAGGGAGAGTGGTCCAAACAACTCTTCTCCTAAACCCTATTACAGCCGACTTCTTCTTCTCTCTTTGCTGCTGATATCTACCTCACTTTCACACTTTTTAAATCAGTCCTCTCATTCTTTTGAACTATTTTCTTCTATAACTGCACTCTCTGACCATGCCCCAACCACAAACACCAACACCACGACCTCTAATGCTCCCATCTCTACCACTACCACGACCTCCTCTCACACCACAGTTATCCCCTCTAAGAAAGCTACTTCTACCACATGAGCCCCCTTTACCACCTCTAGTGATGAGAGTAGAATTTATCATATTTTTATCCCCAATTATTCTGTCTTTTATACTAAATTAGCATCTAATTGAACTCATATCTCTTGTATTTTGGTCCAGGGTATGAAAGAAGGCATCAAGAGCAAAGAAAGACAAATCGGATGATTTTTCACAATTTCGACAACGTTCAGTGATTTGGGTCTAACTTGCGTCTCCGAACTCCGAATGGGTTGATACAAGATCCACTGGAAAGATAAGAGAAAAAGCCACAACTTTCATGTTTTGGGCTTTCGCAGATTCGGCCTGCATCGAAGTCAATTCCGGGCCCGAAGTCGGGGAAATTTCGTAGGAAGGCCCAATCCGCAACTGAAGCCCAACTCGCA